CAAAGTCTCTAGGAAATGAACAACACTGCTTTGGGAAAAAGGGAAATTAAAGTTTACTTTTCTGTTTTCTTATGTTTTTATATCTGTTTTTACCAAAATTCCAGGGGCAAAAAGTATTATTTATAAGCCTTGCTTCCCTAGTAGCTCTTGCCAAGAGTATACCTTCACATCATTTGACTGATTCAGGAACTAATCACCAAATATTGATTTATCTAGTTCCTGTTTCTCAAGTGATCTTATCTGAATGGAATCATAAAATGGATTTTTACTAAAACTAGAATTAGAAAAACTGTACACCCCCCAGAAAATAATAAATCAAGGCTACTCAAGCAAAATTGCATAAATTTCATTGATCACATTTGTCCTTAAGGAGATGTATAGTTATAAACATTACATAAAATTTAATTGCATTATTAAATGGCTACTGCCAATACAAATATCACGATACTAATGAACCATATCTCCAGACACTCAGCTACAACCCTAATGTCTTAGCAGAAAACTCCAAGAGAAAAATACATAAATAAATTCAAGGAGGGATTCCCAGAAATAAAATTCTGACTATATGAGAGTACTTTAGAACGATTATAAAGAATGGACTTAAAAGCTAAATTTATTTTGATGCAAAGGATTTTTTGTACATAGCATTTTCCATCAACTTTTTGAGGACCCCTCATATACTATGTGAGAGACAGAAGAGGCATTCAGAGAACACAACTTGGGTCTACAAAGAGTATTCAAATGATTTGTGATTTTAAAAACATTAAAGAGAAAGTTATACCAGTCAAGATGAACAGAGAGAAGTTGGTTTCACTCCAGTACTGTCACCAGCAACAGAGGCCAGAACACATACTACATCTGGAGACTTAGTTCTAGTAAGAAAAAGGCTGGGAAGTTTTTTTTTTTTTTTCTTTTTTTCTTTTTTTTTTCTTTAAAAGAGAAGAGATCAGGGCCAGGTGTAGCAGGTAAAGCTGCAGCCTGTAGTGACAGCATCCCATGTGGATGTTGGTTCGAGTCCCAGCTACTCCACTTCCAATTCAGCTCTCTGCTATGGCCTGGGAAAGCAGTAGAAGATGGCCCAAGTCCTTGGGCTCCTGCACCCGGGTGGGAGACCTGGAAGAAGCTACTGGCTCCTGGCTTCACATCGGCAAAGCTCTGACTGTGATGGCCATCTAAGAGAGTGGATGGAAGACCTCTTTCTCTCTCAGCCTCTGCCTCTCTGTAACTCTGCCTTTCAAATAAATAAATGAATCTTTAAAAAAAAATAAGAGATGAAATCTATTTTATTTTTCTGCTTATGCTTTAATAATCAATGTCAACATTATAATCGTGATATATCGGTAGTATTATATATATTTTAATTTTATTTAAGGTATAGAAATTTCATTTATTTCATATATACAGTTTTAGGAACTAAAAGAGCCAGGGTAAGAATACCAGACACCATTTGTGTCTCTGGGCTTTGCCCAGAGAAAACAAACTTTATCCTATCTTCATAACAAGAGGAAGTTTTACATCATAGAGCAAGCCATCTGCAGAAGTCCCACACACCCTCCCAGGAATTTCCTAAAGTACATAAGCCAAGAAAGGGGAGGGAAGAGCAAATTTATCTATAAGTTAGTTGAGGGGAGCTGTAATCCTGTCATGTTTTAGGGCCATTCTTTTGCACATATTTAAACAGGGGTAAGAACACTGTGGAAAGAGTGTCACAAAGGATAAATCCCAGACACAAGCAGCATAGGTTCACCATGGAAAGATAGCTAATGTTCTGAAAAGCTTTTGACAAGTTACCATAGCAACAGGGTAAAGTCCTCCACTTAGACTTGAAAAATGAACACCTATTTTCAAGAATGCAAAAATTTGACCTAGCTTCATTTCAAATTGAATAAAGCTTAGACTTTTAATTGATTCAAACTCTCTGTAAGCCAAGAGTTTTATCTGGCTCTCTGAAAGAAATAACTAAATCCTCACTAGGGAACTGGAAGCATAAAGCGAAAACTTGCTATGAACTCCAATTGAATGATGAGCCTGGACCTGAAGTGGCATCAGATCTTAGGAGAATCAGTATTTCTGAAGTTCCATCAAATGGAATGAACAAAATCACTGAAGGATGAAAGTAAAGACTGCGTTTGGGATTCTATAAAAACATTTTAATATCTGATGCTTAAATCAGGTAGGAGGACATAGTCTGCCTTTTAAAACTCTCAACAAATGACTGCTGAGTAGTTAATATGAGCAGACGTTCTTCTTTGTTATATAGATTTTATTTTCTCATGGCGCTTACCTACTATTGGGTGGATATACAGACATACATACACACATATACATATACATATGGAGATATGTACATAAAATACTATATAGCATATGCAATCTATACTGTTATTATGTCCAATCACATATATGCATATGTGCAATTATTATATATTATTTATTTATTTTTTTTTTTTGACAGGCAGAGTGGACAGTGAGAGAGAGAGACAGAGAGAAAGGTCTTCCTTTGCCGTTGGTTCACCCTCCAATGGCCGCCGCGGCCGGCGCGCTGCGGCCGGCGCACCGCGCTGATCCGATGGCAGGAGCCAGGAGCCAGGTGCTTTTCCTGGTCTCCCATGGGGTGCAGGGCCCAAGCACCTGGGCCATCCTCCACTGCACTCCCTGGCCACAGCAGAGGGCTGGCCTGGAAGAAGGGCAACCGGGACAGAATCCGGCGCCCCGACCGGGACTAGAACCCGGTGTGCCGGCGCCGCTAGGCGGAGGATTAGCCTAGTGAGCCGCGGCACCGGCTATTATATATTATTTTAATCTTAATTTATAATTAAATCCAAACCCTATAATACATAGTATAATGGCATTTAAATGCACTTATGATAACTCATGTATTTCTAAGTTTATTAATATATGATGATTATATGGGATGGATGTAAATCCTAAGAAGGAAAACATTCATGCAGGAAAATAAAGGGGAAAAGAAGGGCAAAGATAGAAGGAATAGAAAGAGATAAGAAACTCAGTAGGTCCATCTTCCAAATTAGCTATCCTGGGCTGGACTTTCTAAGCTGCCTTCTCTTTACTTCTCTACCTTTCATCAACAGGAACTTCTGCCATATTCCATTTGCTATCTCTGAGAGATGATTTTTTGCCAAAACATAAAGTGCACCACTAACAAGATAATTGATAATTTTAACATGATCAATACTCTGCTGTCAATTCCCTAAAATAATTTAGTCCCTAAAACAGAGGAAGCCATAAAGCACATTTTGTGGCAAAGAACAGGGACTATTCACAATGACAATGCTGACTTCTATTAATTTGTCACATATACTTGTGTATTTGCCTTAAATCCTATCTGTTTCCTTTAGTGATAGTTCCAAAAACTGAGTGAAGGCAAAAATCAAACCTAGTGCTTAGATTTATATAGGAATTTGCCTCACTAATGATGTGTCCCAAATGTTATGCAAGCAAATGTCAGAGTTACTAACACAAAAGTAAGAAGAATCCTTTATGGTGATAGCTTTAAGGGGCCTCCAGCAGGCTCAACAGATTGGCCTTTGCCAATTTAGAAATGATTTTAGATTGGGTAAGGCTCATGTCCCTTCAATCTCTAAGCTTGTGGTTTGGCTTCAGGGATTTCTATAGTTACCACTTCAACTCTGTGTCCAACTGGTATGTCCTTTGCAATACAATCGCATTATCATAAGGCCATCTGAAATCAGAGTTGTTTATTAAAAGAGGAAGTTAACATTTTGTTCCAATTGTGTGGCATTAATAGTCTGAATGAGAATTCATTTCAGTTATTTTCCTGTTCAATTATTTTATAAAGTGTTTTTTCAGGGCTTTGTCATTTTCTCATCTCTTTCTACTGTAAACAAGCTTCTCAATATTTCTGAGTTTTCTCCCCAGTAAATTCATAAGAAAGTCTGTTTCCATTCGTTAACCATACATGCACCAAGGACTGATTCACAAGTCAGAAACAACCCGTCTGAGTCCACTGATGAGCAATAAACTGGAAATCTGCCTTTATAGGGCAAGCTGATTAAACCATTGCAAATTCTAGAACATTAAAGTGTTCTTGTCCTGACCACAAATAACATTTCAGTCACCTCATTGCAAATTTATTTCCTATTCAAGGACTCAAATGCAACCACATTTAAGGGGCTGTTCTATGACAAGAGTTGTGCTTCTGTTGAATGCTCTCTGAAGCTGGGAACATTTCTGGATGCTTTTGTACTAAGAACAGGATTAGTGGTGACATCATAAAACTGGAGGAATTGTTCAAAAATTTGTATCTTCCCCTTATTATTATTTTTTTTTTGACAGGCAGAGTGGACAGTGAGAGAGACAGAGAGAAAGGTCTTCCTTTGCCGTTGGTTCACCCTCCAATGACTGCCGCGGCCAGTGCATCGCACTGATCCGAAGCCAGGAGTCAGATGCTCCTCCTGGTCTCCCATGGGGTGCGGGGCCCAAGCACTTGGGCCATCCTCCACTGTACTCCCGGGCCATAGCAGAGGGCTGGCCTGGAAGAGGGGCAACTGGGACAGAATCTGGCACCCCGACTGGGACTAGAACCCGGTGTGCTGGCGCCGCAGGTGGAGGATTAGCCTATTGAGCCATGGCGCTGGCCGTATCTTTCCCTTATTTAATGATATAGCAGTTCAATCCTCAATTTAACAATTTATGCTACATGGTTAGCAAAGACAAAAAAGGAGAAAAGAAACTCTGCCATTCAGATGAATTTTATCTTTAAAAGATGCATTGGTTTATCTTTAAGACCCCCTTCCCTCCTACAGTCCTGCCCCCAGCCTCTGCTGCCCACAGCTTCTGATGAGCTGTCAGAATTCGGCGCCGCGACTCGGATCAGCGCAGTGCACCAGCTACAATGCGCCGGCCGCGGTGGCCATTGGAGGGTGAACCAACGGCAAAGGAAGACCTTTCTCTCTGTCTTTCTCACTGTCCACTCTGCCTGTCAAAAAAAAAAAAAAAAAAGAAATCAATATTCCCTCAATTTAGCACTCATCTACAACCTTTCCACCAATATCACAATCTCCGCATGAACAACTAACCAACCGACTCAAGTTCCTTTACCTCTTTAAATTTGTTGCTCTCTTGGGGCTGGCACTGTGGTATAGCTGAAGATGCCACCTGCTGCACCGACACCCCATATGGACTGCTCCACTTCCAATTCAGCTCCTTGCTAACACACCTGGAAAAGCAGCAGAGGGATGGTCAAAGTCCTTGGGTCCTTGTACCTACGTGGGAGACCCATAAAACTCCTGAAACCTGGCTTCAAATCAATCCATCTCAGGGCATTGCAGCCAATTGGGGGAGTGAACTAGCAGATGGAAGACCTCTCCCTCTGTCTCTCCCTCTCTCTCTTCCTCTTTGTCTCTGTAACTTTGCCTTTTGATTAATACATTAAAAAAATTGTCTCTGTCAACTATAACTTTTTCCTTTCATTTAACTCTAGGAATATGACATAGGTAAAAATTTCTTGGCTGATTAATAATAACAATAGTATCAGGGACAGTTGTGTGGTTAACAGCAGGTTAAGCCACCATCTATGACACCAACATCCCATATGAATGCCAATTTGGGTTCCAGCAGCTCTGCTTCCAGCTCCCTGCTACCCACGTGGGAAACCCAGGTGAAATCCTTGCCTTTGACTAGGACCAGCCCTGGCCATTGCAGCCATCTAGGCAGTGAACCAGCAGATGGAAGATCTATCTCCCTATGTCTCCCCCTCTCTCTCTGTAAGTCTGCCATTCAAATAAATAATAAATACATCTTTTTTTAAAAAAGAATTTCTTGGGGCCAGCATTGTGGCACAGCAGGGTCAGCTACCACCAGCAATGCCAGAATCCCATATAGATGCTAGTTACAGTCATAGCTGTTCCATTTACAGTCCAGCTGCCTGCTTAAGGACCTGGGAAAGCCGTAGAAGATGGGAGACCTAGATGGAGTTCCATGCTCCTGGCTTCAGCTTGGCCCAACTCCAGCTGTTGTGGCTGTTTGGGCAGTGAACCAGCAGATGGAATATTTGTGTGTGTGTGTGTCTGTGTGTGTGTATTTGTCTATCTGTCACTGCATTTGAAATAAATAAATCTTTTTTTAAAAGAATTTGTGAATAGTATTTGATTCAACTGGCATAAAGGGATAACAGATTTTTCAGGTTTTAGAAGCAAACTACTCTAGTACTTACTAACAGCCTAACATGAAGAAATTTCCTACCTTCCTAATTCCTACTTTTTTCATACATAAAATGCAATAATCCCTGGAAGTTTTAAGTATTTGTTCTATCCCCAAAATATGACCATGTTTTTGTTGTTTTTTTTTAAAGAGAGAAAGTCATTCCAGAAGCATGTAAGCCGGGTTTGGTTTTGCCTTATTTTAATAAAAACCCAAACCAACTGTAGTTGCATTACCTCAGTGATAAGGTGTTACATCAGGCATTGGAAGTTCTGAGTTCTAACCTAAACTTCATCTCTTTATTTAAAAATTCAAGCAATTTCTTTAACATTTTTCAATTCACTTCTTTTAAGCTTCAAATTCATAACTTACTTATTGCCTGTTCTGTGAAAATGGAGTTGATCCCATTAAATATTTTTCTGTTGTCAGCTTTGTCAGTTCAGGGCCTGGTGAGACAGCGCAGAGGAAGGGTTTTTCTTTCTAATTCCGTGGGATGGCTGGGAACCCCTCTGCAGGGCACAACTGTTCTCCATTTCCCATTCTTTCAGTGAATTGCTTCTCCAGCACTCAACTACTGCTACAAGTACGGCATCCCCGGAGTCTGGCCCTTGCAGTAGACAGTGGTCTGCAGTAGACAGTGGTCAGCAGCAGCCAATGGGTAGCAGCCTTAATATTGCCAACCAAGGAAAGTTCATCTGAGATTAGATGTCTAGGATTTTATTGGAGCTCATTACTTTGGCATGACTGATTGAAACATATTTGTCTTTTTGTTTTCTTTTTTTTTTTTTTTTTTTTTTTTGACAGGCAGAGTGGACAGTGAGAGAGAGACAGAGAGAAAGGTCTTCCTTTTCTGTTGGTTCACCCCACAATGGCTGCTGCGGCCGGCGTGCTGCGACCGGTGCACCGTGCTGATCCGAAGCCAGGAGCCAGGTGCTTCTCCTGGTCTCCCATGCAGGCGCAGGGCCCAAGGACTTGGGCCATCCTCCACTGCACTCCCAGTGCTACAGCAGAGAGCTGGACTAAAAGAGGAGCAACCGGGACAGAATCCAGCGCCCCGACCGGGACTAGAACCCAGGGTGCCAGCACCACAGGCAGAGGATCAGCCTATTGAGCTGCGGCGCCAGCCGATTGAAACATATTTGAATTGTTGAACTTAATATCTAACACCCCACCCTCTCCTGGAAGTTGGTCTGACATCATAAGAGCAGAGGGGCCTAGCATGAGCTACTGTATTAGCATACACTCTCAGTTTTGGGGCCAAAATGTCCAATCATGAATAACAGACACTCATACACCAATCAACAAGGATATTTCAAATGTCCTGGCATTCTGGGTCAAAACCAGACCTCTGCTTGAGCAGGCCAGATTCTTCACCACACATGTACCACATACATTGAAGAACTGCAGTAAAAGAAGTTTTAGTAGTAATGATAATAATTACAGATTTTATTGGAAACAATAATAGCTGCTCATATAGCAAAATATATCTCATTAGAATAATAATAAATTGTATTTAAAAGGAAGCATCAGCAGCTACAAAATATCATAGGCCTTGCTATCTCACTGTTTTTCACCTATTTGTTAGCCTTAGGACCATAGGACAGCATGAAATGCTAATTTAGAAGTCAAATTTATTGCACAAAGTCCCTGTTTTCTTCTTTTTATACAAGAACATTTTCCACCTGTGTATACTTGCATGCTTCATTTGATTGTAGGTTTAAATCCATAAGCTGTCTGAAAGCACAAAACAAGCACTCTGTCTGTTTCATCCCTCCCCAACCCCAGGAAGGGTTAGTATATCAAAACCCACTACTTCATTAGCTTCTGTGCTTGTGTACTCTTGATTCTTGTTCTAAATATTTTCCTGTGCTTGATGACTAGATAAATGTTTTACATTTGCCTGGATTCAAATACATTAGTGGTGGATCTAGGGAATTTCAAAATGCTGTTACACAAGTGAATCAGCAGATGAGACAGACTGTCTAAAGTAGCATAGAATGTTATTTCCATGATTGCATTCTTATCGTATTTGGTTCAGCTAAACTGACTGTGGTAAAAAGCAAAATAAAATAAAGGTGACTTAGTCAAACAAAACAGATTGGGTACCTCATAATTTTGTGGTAATCAACACTGATATATTCTTAACACTGAAATTCCATCTTCAAAATTTGTCTGGTCAGCTCATTTTTCTTTTTTTTTTTAATTATTTTGACCTATTACTGTAAATGCAAGTCTTAATTTTTTATTTCCTCTTTTTTTTAAAAAAAGTGGCTTAGCGTTTTATTTTATTTTTTAAAGATTTCATTTATTTATTTGAGAGGTAGAGTTACAGACAGAGGGAAAGAGAGAAAGGGCTTCCATCTGCTGGTTCACTCCCCAAATAGCCAAAATGATGGGGGCTGGGCCAATCCAAAACCAGAAGCCAAGAGCTTCTTCCAGGTCTCCCACATGGGTGCAGGGCCCCCAATACTTGGGCTATCTTCCAACTGCTTTCACAGGCCATAAGCAGAGAGCTGGATCAGAAGAGGATCAGCTGGAATACAAACTGCACCCATATGAGATGCAGGCACCACAGGTGGAGGCTTAGCCTTCTATACCACAGTGTCAGCTCCTCTATTTCCTCTTTAAAATTAAGTAGATGAGGGTTCAGCAGTGGGTTCAGACTCAGCCTGCAAAACCAGCATCCCATAGCAGAGAACTGGTTCAAGTCCAGGCTCCTCCATTACTGATCCAGCTCCCTGTTAACACACCTAGAAAAGCAGTTGGAAGATGGCTCAGGTCCTTGGGCCCCTGTACCTACATGTAGTTCCAGACTCCTGACCCAGCCCCTGCCAACGCAGCCACATGGGGAGTGAACCAGAGGATGGAAGATTCTCTCTCTCTCTCTCTCTCTCTCTCCCTTTCAAATAAATAAAATTAATCCTTAAACAAATTATGTAGATAATGTAACTAACCATTTACAGAGAAAATACATGGATTGCATATACCTGTATACATACATACGAATACCACTTTTTTGTGTCAACAAACATTCAAATTTACCATATGTATACAACTAATCCAACAATGTACAGTCCCTTCCTCCTATCTCAGGGCAGTGTTTCCTTATATGCTTCCGTCTTTACTCTTCTCTGGAAAAGCATGTTGTTGATTACTCCTCTTTCTCTTTACCTCATCTTCATGGATTCTTCCACTGCTTTTTGAACATACCCAAAAAATAAGAACCCTTTCCTCAATACTACACCATGAACCAGTTAGCAGACTCTCTCCCCTCTCATTTAAGGCCAAACTCCAAAGAAATATTCCAATCACCTGTAACTCACTCCTCAAACCACTCTAGTCTGGAGTTTTGCCACTATCATTGTACTGAACCAGTTCTCATGAAGATCACCCATGTGGCATAGCAGGTAAAGCTGAAGCCTGCTGTGCCAGTATCCCATATGGGCACCAGTTCTAGTCCTGGCTGCTCCACTCTGATCCAGCTCTCTGCTATGACCTGGGAAAGCAGTAGAAGATGGCCCAAGTCCTTGGACGCCTGCACCCATGTGGGAGACCTGGAAGAAGCTCCTGGATTGGCCCAGCTCTGGCCATTGTGGACGTCTGCGAAGTGAACCTGCAGATGGAAGACATCCTTCTCTCTGCCTCTGCCTCTTGGTAACTCTGCCTTTCAAACAAATAAATAAATCTTTACAAACAAAAACAAACAGAAAACTTCCTGTTTCTAAATCCAAGTGATAATTTTATTCCTTATTTTACTTCAGTTCTCAGCATTGTTTAACTCCTTCTTAAAATACTTTCTTCCCCAGCTAGTAAGATACAATACTGTTTTCCATTCATTCATTCTTCTGGCTGCATACTTCGAACCCTTTTCTTTCTTTACTTGCTATTTAATGTTGAAGCCCCTAAAATGTTAAAGATTCTATTATACTGTCACTTCACATTTTGTAAAAGATTTATTTTTTTATCTGAAAGGCAGAAAGAGAGATTTGGAGAAAGAAAGTGATCTTCTATCTGCTG